ACAAGTGATGAGGCACTTGAAATATTAGTATCAGAAAAGCAAGACCAATTCAAGATCTTCAACCTCAGCCACTACGAATGGCACCAACAAAAACTATACCTCATGTATATGCTGGCAGGCACTGAACTTTCAAAGCACTCCATAAAGCAGTTTCCAATACTTTCCAACAAATATCACATCTTTTTCCTATATTCCCCTTCCCATCACACTTTGATACAAGGGTCTTTAAAATTGCTTCCTATATATATTCTGCAGAAACCTGTGAAAAGTGGAGGATGAAGCCTCATTTTCCCTTTGCATTGGCTCATATATCCAAGTGCCAATATGGACACTACTAGTGAGACTTGCAGCAAAATTGGCTATAACATTTACATAGTGTCCACCTTCTGCCAAACGCCACAGGAGGCCATTAACAGAACAAACACGTGCGCACATCAGATTGCACTATTTTATCAATAAAGTAGACACACACAAAGCTACTGGGAAGAGATCCAAGATTTTCAACTCACAAGATGCAATTAATCTCCTAGGGCCTGATAATTGCACAATGCCACATGGCTGCTCAGGGGGGAGTAGCACACCCACCCATGCTTGCCTAAAGCCCTGCAAAAATTCCTCCTGTCAATGCTTTGTATGTTGCAAGAAGACATGAACTTGCTGCATGTTCGTGCCCACACAAACCAATTTTTTGGCTCAGCTGTACTGCATTTATTTGATAATACAAGAGAGTTAGCAAGGCAGAGGAGGGTCATAATCAGCTACAAAAAGTAAGAACAGGAATGATACGCTGTGTTGACTCATACTGAGGAAAGTATCCTCAGCAACTCTTTGGATACTCCAAAAAGAAAGCAAATAGTGGCAGCTGTGATTTGTCCTTAAATGAACGAAGTAATCAGCAGCCACACAGCACATCATCTTTCAGAAGCCCATTGAGCTACATTCTTCTCACTGAAGCTTCTCCCTTCCTCCTGGGAATAGCCTCAAGAAGGAAAAAGAGGGACAATGTCCATGTGGGAGTGATAATGAAAGATTTGGGAACTGAACTGACGTTATATTTAATTATTTCAGTTGATGGAAGAGATAATGTCAGAAAACCTTCAGCTTTCTCAGCTATGAAGTCATATTTCAAGGAGAAGTTCTGTTGAGAAGAGATGGGGTCCTTCTCTTAAAGGAGGGGAAAGTCATTTTTGGACATAAGAGTGCTGTGATGCTTGGACTTTCAACTAGAATCATGCGAGACTGGTAACAAAAGTCCACAGGCAGGTATCAAACCAGATCCATGCCAGAGATAAGCTAAGGGAGTGCGGTTATTCAACAAGCCTATAGGAGGAGCAGTGAGAGGAACAAGTCCATCCATAGAGCGTCCTGCAACACCTGAACATCAAGGACAAGAGTAAGAGAGAGACAGCAGGAAAAGCTGGAAGCATAAAATTATTATCAAAATTACACATTACAGTGGCATAACAGCATCTGGCTGAGAAAATTCACAATTAGAATATTACCCCAGGAAGGCATCGCTTGCTCAGGATAGAGAGGACAACCCTTGCATATCACGGATACACACATTCACAGGCTGAAGTCTCATATCATTCTCTTAAGCAAGCTAAAAGACTGTAGGAAGTTACTATTAGCTGGCTAAAAAATTAACTAGGATATCATATTCTGAAAACAGTTATCACTTGGCCACTGTCAAACTGCAGGGGACATGTAAAGACTGTGGTTCTACAAGGGTGTCACAGTTCTGCATTATCCCATTTATTCACCACTGTCTTCGAAGAGCAAATACACCTTCTGAAACACCAACTTGGAAGGGAAAATAATTCTGTTAGAGGACCGAATTCAAAACGTGTTGGGTTTTTTTAGTTGGTTGGTTTTTTTAATCAACTGGATAAATAGCCTAATATTGCTGTCAGATATGCAGAAGTCAGCTAAAAGAAGGAGGGATTCTCAGGATAAAAGAACAATTAAAAAAGAGACTTGAATCACAGCCATGGAACTGTAGGTCAGGAGGCCTCAGAGGAAAACTTTCTAACAGGAAGACCCAAAACATTAAGTATTTTTATTTCACACAAAAACTTCAATATTGTTTTCTATTTTTGTACACAAATCAATTTTAAAATCTTTTTATCTAGGCAGTGACCAAAACAATTATTTGTAGGGCACTAGCTGCTGATATTTCATTTCACTGTGTGGAACAACATAATAGGCAAAACGGATTTTCAAATTCATCACTCTCCTTAACTTCCAAGTTGGCCACAGCTTGCTTACAACACCACACTATTATTTTTAACTGAAAGAAAACTAATAAAATAAATATTAATCTGAAAGCTATTTTTTAATCTAAGAAATGAAATTAAATTTGCAAACTTGTTTACATATTCACAGTTACAAGAGGATGGATTAGATCTTCCCTTAATAGTTCCTACTGCTGGGAGTCAAACTGTATGTATTTGATTTGTTTTCAGAGTTATTCATATTTTTAAATTTGCCTCTAAAGCAGTCATTACAAACACACTTAAAAGGTCAAGCACACTGTTAGAGCTTAGACAGGTGGAAGATTACGGTCTCCCACTGTAGGAGCGGCTGCACCACTGAACATCCAGCAACCCACCGACTTTCATCGGCACCTTCTTTGCCACAGTACCTATGGACGAATATTACCTGCAGGTTACAGACTAATGATAAGCTTTCTATTTTATTGCCCTTTCATGCATTTAAATCAAAAGTGTTTCGGAGCAGTTGTATCCCGAAAACCTAGATATACGAAGTGAAAAAGCAAGCACTACTTGATCCAGCACCACCTATTTTGTGCCAGGCGACTTCATGCTGCCTCACAAGAAAACAGGCACAAAAACAGAGGATAGAGTACCAGCAGAACCAAACTGCACTTGGACAATTAGCCCCTGACAACAGGATGGCATCTCTTTGGTCAGCCTTCTCACAACTGCAGAGCACTGCTGTAACTCGTTTATTTTATGGGCTTTTGATATCTCTCTTGTGGTCAGCAGCAGAGAGATCAACTGATCATTGCCACTTGGCTTGATCCCATGACTACAGCTAGGAGAGAAGGCATGCCACAGCAGTGTGGGAAGGTGTGAGATCCAGATCCGGCTTCTAGAGAACAAGAGAGCAGTACAATCACAACAGTCTTATGAAGATGCGCAAGATCTGAGGAAGCTACTTAAGGAATTTATGATTTTTAGCCTAAAAGACACTTCCTTCTTGTTATTGGTCTAACCTCCATCCTACAGGTCATGGCTGACCTCTGGTTCTCACTCAGCTGTGGCAGTACTCCTGTTTCCAGATAGGCACTCTTGTCTCTCTTCTGAGCAGAACAGAACAGCTGAGGTGGGCACTCAGATCCGTTATTTTGAAGGACCAGAAGCAAAAACGCTCCTGAGCCACTCCTGCTGTACTGGACAAGGGGAGTATAATCACAATCTCACCTTGCATACTTTGTGTTTTGATTTCTCTTTTTATGACATGTTATCCACTGGAAAGACTACAAAGCACTTCAAAGAGAAGTATAATGTTTCAACCCAAGAGCAGATGCTCTGCACTCACTACGGCTGGATGTCTTCGCAAATGCATACTCGGCATGTCATATGTGGCTTCTCATACCCATGAGTGCTTCATCAGACATCTGTTTCTTTCAGGGTTCTCTTTGTACAAACACCAGTACCATTTAAAATCTTTACCTCCAGTTTAAAAGTGGCATCAAATACATAGATTGGTCTTTCTAGCCTACTTTGAAATCTTTGTTACACTGAACATCTGAGTGCACGAAATTATCTGACGTTTGACTAACTCCTTCACACAGTAAGGACTTGATACTATGAACAGAGTGTATTTACAACAGCTTTGTCCTTGCAAATGTCACTCAAGCAGCAGCAGCATAGCAGCAAACCACCTGGTGCCTGCCATAGCATTTTGTTAACGAGTGGAGGGAAAGGTTACTTCGAGAAGTACAGCAGTAGTAGATTATTTCATTATACTCTCAGTAACTACTTGGGTAAAGACTTGCACTGGCCTTTCAAAGGAAATTCTGTCAAATACAAGAGGCACAATATTTTGGGTGTGTTGTCCTTATAGCTGGGATGTGAGACTGACTAGTTTAAAAAACTTCAAAAATAACTGTAGGAATTGATGATCCCACCCAAAACGCACGTACACACCTGGTAAGTTAATGTGAAAAACTTAAAGTGGCTATTCAGCATGTTTTTGCTTTCCAGAGCCTATGGATGACAGAACCAGAAGAGAGAAAAGATAAAAGCTTGGCAAGTTTTAAGCTTTCTAAAATTTGTAACTTGAACATCCAGTCTATGTCTCAGCTTTGGGCTGCGGAGAGGACTGCTGTTCCAGAACTGAAGCACACGCTCTATAGCCGTAGCACTTAACAAGTCACATTGCACCTGCGCTGCTCAGCGTTTTTCAAGACAGATGAGTGCTGTGTAAGAGCAGGCTTGCTAAGGACAAAGTAACAGACTTAAGAGTTGTCTCACTAACAGAAGGGACTGTAAAGTGACTTAAAAAGTGACACAGAGGAGTTTGTCATCTGTTGCTGCTCATTGATTTCCAGACAACCAAGTCCAGTTTGCAAGCAGAAAGAGAACCCCATCATGCACAACAGCCAGCTCTTATGGCCCAACTCAGCCTGAGTGCTCGAGTCTCAAAGACAGCTCAGCGACCAACAAGGCCTACAAATCAACAGATTTTTAGGAAACTCCCTATGTCATGTCAAATCTCAGATTCTTTTCATCATTTGTACCATCACCACTACTAAAGTTTCCATACCTGTCATGATCATTGTATAATTCCACTCCCTTTAGCAAGCTTGCTTTGGAGTCACTGGGTGGGTTTTGAGCACATCTAAACTTGCAAGGTCGGAGCAGCAAAGCACACCACAATTTCTTCACCATCACTGTAAGCTCGCAGTTCTAGACATTATCCCCTTCAAGATCTGACTCAAGAATCATTGAAACACTAAATCAATTGCTCACCTTTTGATCCAGACTGTAGGCCAAGATCCACTCCTCCTGCTTGGGGTGGAAGAGCAAGCTCTGGATATAGAAGTTCAGACGGTACTTCTGGTAGGTAGCCCCTTCATCAGAGCTGATAAGGATGCTGCTCTCAATCTCTGGGTCACTAAGAAGCATAATCTAAATAGAAAAACAAAGGGAAAACAGTGTTAATGGAAAAGTGAAACTGAACATCATTCAAAAGTGAAGTCATACAGCACTGATACCTATTAGATGTATTCAGAACATTGCTCAACAGTGTAAACAGCCCACAGGATTTCCCAAATAGGGGATTTTTTTAGTGTTTCACTTCCATTTTATTTGGTGATTCATTCACAGACTCATTCAGTGATTCCTTTTTTTCCATTTTATTTTATCCTGACAAATTCAGAAAGCAAGCAAGAATGAAAAAAGCTATATTGATATCGAAGCTGATTTTGATTGAGTATTGCAACTTCAGACAGTCACACCAGGCTTTCCTGGTCCCTTTCCAGTCTATCACCTCTCTTCCCAAATGCGAAATACTCTCTCCAAAAGTACACAACAGGGCACACCTGAGTTTTAAGGCTCATTATTTGGCAGTTTGCAGAGCTACAAATGAGAGCATCACCTCCCTGGAAACACAGAATGCCTACCTGGATCAGCTGCTGGCATCTGAAAACAGTCCGTGTGCATGTGCGCAAACATTGATATACGATCTCATATATCATGTTTCCAATTTATACAGTAGGAGATGTTCATTCACTCAGTGAACACATAATTTTCCCCAAGCACAGGAAAGTGTATGACCTCAATTTGTACAGGGAGGAAAACACTTCTCAGCCTCTAATTTTAATTAGAAAATTATTACCAATATTTTAAAATGGGTTGATTCCACATTATCAGATGGCATGCTCTACATAAACGTTATCAAGAAAAATGTTGTGGAAACATTAACACCATCTTATTAACATCTGGAGAAAACGACATCACATTAAAGCAAATGCCAGTACCATAAAATAAAGGCAAACAGTGGGAAATAAATTAGAGCTGTGCTAAACACAGCAGGTTATTGATACAGTAGCTGAAACAAATATAGAAACTGCCTTTCAGCAGG